ATCTACTGAGATGGATGGTGGGCCTCAAATTGCAGCTTTCAAGGACTTCAGTAAACAAGTTGCTTTCAAACAAAGTTGGAGGCAATTGCTTTCCTCCCCACTCCGGCTCCTAGAATTGGGCAGCCAAAATGGTTTTAAGGACCTGTGGTATATAAAAAAAATAACATTTCCAAATTCTGTTTTCAAACTTCCAAGTAGTTGAAGTATCTGGAGAAACTAGGTATCAGGAATAAGGTACAAAGCATGTACTCTGCTACTGAGTTTGTGTCGTTTGTCACAGAGGTCAAATATTCAGAGGCATCCAAGATGCTACTGCTTACCATGTTTTCCCGAAAATAAGACACCATCTTATATTACCTCACTACCTCTGAGGATCCTTGCCATAGATGCAGGCGATGTCTCTAGAACATGGCCATATAGCCCGGAAAAACCTACAACGACCCAGTGATTCTGGCCATGAAAGCCTTCGACAATACATTGAACATCTCTACAGGGAGAAACTGTTCTAATACACACGGAAATTGGAAAAACTAAGGACCAGGAAAGCACATCTACTGTGCTCCCTGACTTTCCTTCTACGCTGCTGAGACACAGATACCATCCCACAATTTCTCACAGCCAAAAGGACTTTCAAAACACCACAGGCTCATCGGATCTATGACCGCCTGGAACGCAACCTCTTACGAGAGAGAATTCACACCATCTGCACCTCACTACCTCTGAGGATGCTTGCCATAGATGCAGGCGAAACATCAGGAGAAAATACCTCTAGAACATGGCCATATAGCCCGGAAAAACCTACAACAACCCATCTTATATTTATTTTTCCTCAAGAAGACATACTATGGCTTATTTTCAGGGAGTGTCTTTTTATTATTATTATTAAGTATGGTACAACAATCTGCATTTATGGGATGATCTCTCTGGACTCAGTAGCAGACTGCTGGCTGAAGTTTTTCCCCTATCCCCTGGTGTTTATGTGGGGCGAGAGAGACCCACAGACTGCTGCTGGTCAGTACTGGGGAGCAGTGGCTTTACTGGTGTTTGTGGGGAGGTGAGAGAGACCCACAGACTGTTGCTGGTTGGTGTGGTGCTGGGAGAGAAAGATCTACAGTGTTGAGTAAAACAGAAGCCACAGCTTTACTTCTCCCCCCTGAGGACAGCAGCCACAGCTTTACTTCTTCCCCCTGAGGACAGCAGCCACAGCTTTACTTCTCCCCCCTGAGGACAGCAGCCACAGCTTTACTTCTTCCCTCTGAGAACAGCAGTCACAGCTTTACTTCTTCCCCCTGAGGACAGCGGCCACAGTTTTACTTCTTCCCCCTGAGTACAGCAGCCACAGCTTTATTTCTTTCCCCTGAAGACAGCAGCCACAGCTTTACTTCTTCCCCCTGAGGACAGCAGCCACAGTTTTACTTCTTCTCCCTGAGGACAGCAGCCACAGCTTTACTTCTTCCCCCTGAGGACACACAAAGCCTAAAGCAGAGCGTCCTTCTCCTTACTTCACTGAGGAGACTTTTTCTTTCACTTTCTATGTCCCCCTCTATGCCTCAGTTTGCAGCATGCAGAGAATGACCAGGACCTGACAGGATGAGCCGACCTTGGACACTGAATTGCCACAGCTATCACTATTTCTTATTTTTGTGGTATGGCTTATATTGCACAAATGCTTAGAAATCCTGCTATGATCTATTTAATGGGTATGTTTTATATTGGGGAAAACAGGGTAGTTAACTATGACAGAATAAAATAAACCGTTCAGCAGTAGAACTCTCTGCCATGAAGTGTGGTGGAGGCTCTTTCTTTGGGAGTTTTTAAACAGAGACTGGATGGCCATCTGTCGGGGGTGCTTTGAATGCAATTTTCCTGCTTCTTGGCAGAATGGGGTTGGACTGGATGGCCCTGAGGACAGCAGCCACAGCTTTAGTCTCCCCGCTGAGGACAGCAGCCACAGCTTTACTTCTCCCCCCTGAGAACAGCAGCCACAGCTTTACTTCCCCCCACCCCCCGAGGACAGTGGTCACAGCTTTACTTCTTCCCCCTGAGGATAGCGGTCACAGCTTTACTTCTTCCCCTTGAGGACAGTGGCCACAGCTTTACTTCTTCCCCCTGAGGATAGCAGCCACAGCTTTACTTCTTCCCCCTGAGGACAGTGGCCACACCATGAGGTCTCTTCCAACTCTAGGATTCTATGATTCTATGAAACCCGGTTTATTGTCTCTAGCAAGGAACAAAAGGGATCCAATTTATTTATTTGAAATATTTAGATCTCACCTTTCAGATCAACAATCTTCATCATAACTTACAATAGGCTATAATAAACAGACATAATCCCAGCACATAGTCGGACAGATCTGGACAGAGTGCTGACCCTCACCCATTTTCTCCTACTTATCTTCAAGCGGAAGCATCCTGTCATGAGTTTGTGTGCATGTGGTTTTAATTGTTCCCTTCCTCTGACGGTAATGAAAATATGTAAATGAGACGGTGTCAAATCATTTATAACACAAAAAGGGGCTGAAATCCCTTAGTAAGTGATAAATGGGATCCGGTTTTAGCCAGGCATCGGTGGTCGGCCCCTGTATGATTATAGAGACAAATTACAAATACAGCCTCTGCTCATTGCATGGGTTTGCTACAATGGTGATTTACTTTCAGAAGTGAAAACTTAATTCAAGAAAGGTCACTCCGCTCAATTATTCACCAGCTTAGAAAGGTAAATTGCACTGGATACGTGTGGGATGGGAGCTGGGGAAAGAGCCTTGTTTGAAGTTTAGATAACAGCTTAATAACTACCTTCTGCAGATGCTAATGAGCAACTGGTGCTTCCCCTTCCTTTGCCACGGAACCACAAAGACTGTTTTCTCCTGATGGAAAGAGCTGTAGAGCCTGTCTCACCGAGATCTGGACTTGCAAAAACCCAGAGTGCACAACTCAGTCTGCTTATCAGTTACGTATAGGAAACTGTGCTGGTAAGAGATGCATGCTGGTTGGGGTGCTTGGAAGCAAAATAATGAATCAGCTCTGAAATGGTGTCTCCAATTGTAGCCCAAAGTGTACGACTGGTGACAAGAGAAGACACTAAATTAGATCAATTGCACGCAAAGTTGATTCTCTCTGACTTGAGAAGACGCCACACTGGCATGACAGGAGAAGACAAAAAATGATTTGGGGAGATCCCTGGTCATCACCAAAAATTCTTGTAGGTCAGAGCACGGTCCAGAGTGACTCCCAGATATTTGGGTGCGCTGCAATGCTCCAATGGGATTCCTTCCCAGGTGATCCTCAGAGCTCGGGATGCTTGTCTGTTCTTAAGGTGAAAGGCACATGTCTGTGTTTGAGATGGATTAGGGATCAGCTGGTTTTCCCTGTAATAGGCAGTAAGAGCACCTAGAGCTTCGGAGAGCTTCTGTTCAACCATCTCAAAGCTCCCTGCTTGAGCAGTAATGGCACGATCATCAGCATAGATGAAACTCTCTGTCCCTTCTGGCAGTGGCTGGTCATTTGTGTAAATGTTGAACATGGATGGAGCAAGCACGCTCCCCTGAGGCAGGCCGTTCTTCTGTTTTCGCCATCTGCTTCTTTGGCCCTGGAACTCAACAAAAAAGCTCCTGTTTGTAGCAGGTTTCTTATGAAGCGGGTGAGGTGGTAGTCCTTTGTGATATTATACATTTTTCTCAGGAGGAGGCGGTGGTTCACAGTATCATAGGCTGCTGACAGGTCTATGAAGACAGTTCCTGTGATCTGCTGCCTCTCGCTGGAACACCTCAGCAAGCGAGAGTCCAAAAGTGGCAGGCCCAAACCCAGCACCTCAATCCATGGTTGATACCAGATGAGAGACTCCCCCCTGGGCACACAGAAAACTGGGCGACTTGGAAGGCGCTGAACAGACTGCGCTCTGGCACCACGAGATGCAGAGCCAATCTTAAGAAATGGGGCCACAAAGTGGAATCCACGACATGCGAGTGTGGAGAAGAGCAAACCACTGACCACCTGCTGCAATGCAACCTGAGCCCTGCTACATGCACCATGGAGGACCTTCTTGTGGCAACACCAGAGGCACTCCAAGTGGCCAGATACTGGTCAAAGGACATTTAATCAACTACCAAGTTTGCAAAAATTTGTGGTTTTTTGTCTGTTTGTTTTGTTCTGTTAGAAATGTAATACAATGGTCTGGTTGCTGATAACACAATAAATAAATATCTGCTTTCTCACTGTATTGGGAGCAATTGGTTTATCTTCATTGTATCCAAATGCACCTGAATGCTCTGATAACATGGCGAGTCCATCCTCAAAGGTGGTCTCTGAGCATGCAATTGCTCAAGAGCAGATGTGTTCAACTTGTGGTCATCTAAGATGTTTGGACCTCCAATTCCCAGAAGTCCTAGTCAGCTTGTCCAATGGCCAGGAATTCTGAGAGTTAAGGTCCAAAACACACGGAGAGCCATAATTTTGCAAAGCAGCTCTAGAAGGCTTCTTTCCACTCAAACCATTGGGCAGGAGAAAAATGCACCAAAAATTTTAGTTGCTGATGGAGAAAGGTGCTAGTAGGGTACATGTGGATTTCAGCAGGAAATTAAAATAGGACAATTGCAACAGCACAACAACATCGAGGAAGCAGGCAGGGAACATCTAATTACCTCTCAACAAAAGTTTGCCTCAGTCAGTCAGCCATTATATGCTAATCAAGGTGGTCAGTTGAAACATTCACACCTAGCTCCAGCAGACAAGAGTCCTTTGTCTCACCCTGGTCATTCCACAGATATATAAACCCCTTTTTCCTAGTTCCAACAGACCTCACTACCTCTGAGGATGCTTGCCATAGATGCAGGCGAAACGTCAGGAGAGAATGCCTCTAGACCATGGCCATACAGCCCGAAAAAACTTACAACAACCCAATTTCAAGTATGCATCAGACCAGGAGAAAATCAGAAGCAAAAGAAAACATTTTTTAAAAATGTTTGCACAGTAATCATGGCACCTCCTTCTCCACAACGTACCTGATTCTCGTGTTCGACCTCGTACAACTTCACTCCAGGGTCCGGCCCCAATGGCATTAAAGGCTTGGATTTGGAGTTCATACTCGGTCCACTCCTCTAGATCCTCAATAGTGTTTTCCCTCTCCAACCGATCACTAATGGCTTTTGTGAGCACGGAAGATGGCGTGTCCACACTCCAGTATTTGATCCTGTATCCGACTGACTCAGGGTTCCCATTATACTGAGTATCAGGCAGAGGCTGAGGACAGCAGGGGGAAAGAGAAGAAAATGATACAGACGGACCAGTTTGGATTTTCAGATGGCCTTTCACATCATTGCCAAAAGCACAAATACTTATGAATACTAAACCACAAATAATAATAATAATAATAATAATAATAATAACACTTTATTTGTACCCCGCTACCATCTCCCGAGGGACTCGGTGCGGCTTACATGAGGCCGAGCCCACAATACAACAATAAACAATAACAACAATAATACAAAAGCAATACATAAACTCATAAGCAAAATAAACAATAACAATAACACGACGCATTTAAAAACCTATGGCTGGGCCAAATGTAATAATTAAAATTTAAAAAATAATGCTGGGCATGAACAGGTAACATGTAATTGGGATAAAGGTTTTGGAGAGGGAAGAAATGTGCAGACAATCTAAAGTCATTATTAAAGTGCGTTTAAGGACATATTGCTGGGAGTTTTCTTATTCTGGGAAGGCACACTGAAACAACCACGTTTTCAGGCTCCTCCTAAAGATTGCCAGAGTTGGGGCTTGCCTAGTATCCCTGGGGAGTGAGTTCCAGAGTCGAGGGGCCACCACCGAGAAGGCTCTCTCCCTCGTGCCCACCAATCGCGCTTGCAATGGTGGCCGGAGCGTGATCAGGGCCTCTCCAGATGATCGAAGAGATCGTGTGGGTTCGTACACAGAGATGCGGTCACACATCTGTTTGGTTATCTTACACTTCATTCTTCCAGACTGCTAGGATTCTAAGATTGTCTGGGGAGGTCCTGCTCTCAATCCCGCCTTCATCACAAGTTTGGCAGGGACGAGAGACAGGGCCTTCTCATTGGTGGCCCCTCGGCTATGGAATGCCCTCCCTATGGATATCAGATCGGCCCCTTCCCTTTTAACATTCCGAAAAAAGCAAAGACTTGGCTTTTTGAGCAAGAGTTTGCAGATGCAATATAAAAGACATAGGAAAAATGGAATGACTGGACGACGCTATTGACAATGCTTTTAACAAGGAGCCTAATTGATATATGTTTTTATTGATATTGACTGTTTAAATTGGTTTTATATTTAAGCTAATTGATTTAATTGTATTTTATGTTTTGATGCTGTTCTGTCGCACACTGGGCCTGTAAAGAATTGTCTTTAAACAGGACGTGCAACCTTTGCCCAGCAGGAAGCCAGGGGGCCCAAAGAGAAGTTCTCAGAGGTTTTCCACCACAAATGATATTTGGATGGCTTGTGAAGTATAACAAAGTCCTTTATTAATGAACAATCAAACAGAAACCTTTCTTGACTTCAATAAAGATAAACAAATGATTCCAGGCTTTTATGCAACTGGTAGCTTCCTAAACTTGCCCACGAAGGGCAGCCAACTGTCTTCAATAACCTCTTCTTTACTTCAAAGGAAAGTCCCCTTTTTCACTTTTCCCAGGCTGACTGTAATCTAACCCTTACTGATGTGGGCTCCGCTACCGGGTTGAACTGAGTCTCAAACGCCGAGTGGACCTACCAGTAAGGCAGTAGACTCTCCAGCTGGAGTTCTTTGGTCTTTAGGGCTGTTTTCCTGGAAATCTTTGGAGACTCTTAAGACTGTTTTCCCCCAGAAAGTCCTCAAAGCTTTGGGGGAGGCTTCCCTGGAGTTCTCTGGTTTGCTCTTAAGACTGCTTCCCCCCGGAAAGTCTTGAGGGTTAAGCTTTTGTACAGGGGAAGCTTGCACGCGTCCTATACATTAGCTTTTCTTGCTGAGACTAACTAAAAAAATGGCTCCCTTCCCTTCCCAATTGCCCTGAACAAGGAGCGGGACCAAAACTTAACGATGATGAACAGGTGACTTGCCCTATGACTGCAACCAAAAGAAGCCACCTATCTGCAGAGTCCCTGAAACAGGACTGCAACCAAACATTCAATGCAAAGCAAACAAAGTTGGAGCTCCTTGTACAGCTGTACCAGAACACATGCTGACTGTAAACCGTCCCAAGTCGCCTGCAGGCTGAGAGGGGTGATATATATATATAGTAAATAAATAAATAACATCTGAAATGAATGGATGGTCATCATCATTTAAGTTTCTGGGTTACTTCTATTTTTTAAGTCATCATTTTATGCTGTATTACATCATGAGGTTAGCCTCAAAAAAGATGTCAAAATATTTCAGCAGGGGAAGGATCTATATATCAATAACAAATTCTCCAAGTGAGATCTTGAAAGAGTCAAAACAGCACACCAATGTCCAGGGGGAAAAGGCATCTGGTTTGGTGTGGAATGAGAGAGCTCCAGATTGTCAGATTTGCTTCAAAAGTTGAGTGGATCCTAAGTGAGGACGCATCCCAAAAATGGCCCAGCAAGGACTGAGCATGCTTAGCAATAGTGTAGATCAGGGTTCTCAAACTTTTTCAGCTGCAGAGACCTTTCTGAAGCAAAAGTTTCTCGTGCAGCCCCAATAAAGATTTATATATTATATTTAACATATATAATGTGTGTATGTATGTGTATGCTGGCCTAGAGACTAGGATGCAGAACAGTGACTTCAAACTACAGGAAAGGAGATTCCACCTGAACATTAGGAGGAACTTCCTGACTGTGAGAGCTGTGGAACTCTCTCTGCCCTGGAGTGTGTTGGAGGCTCCTTCTATGGAGGCTTTGAAACAAAGGCTGGATGGCCATCTGTCAGGGGTGCTTTGAATGCAATTTTCTTGCTTCTTGGTAGAATGGGGTTGGACTGGATGGCCCATGAGGTCTCTTCCAACTCTAGGATTCTATGAAAAAAACATGAACAAACTCTAAAGGCTCCACGGAGCACAGTTTGAGAACCCTTGGTGTAGATGAAAAATTATACTGCTTTTAGAATGGGATCAAATGTGTCTGGATCCCTAACTTTAAAAGAAAGGAAAGCTGTGAGATTGGCCCAGAAGCTGTTTTGTCTAGATAAATGGAGAGAAAACTATGGTCCAAATTCAGTTTGTGAGAAATCCTTGGAGGTTGGTGCGACGACATTTCACTACTTCAGTCCATTTACAGGTATCTTTTTACGTGTGACGATGTGGGGGGGGGGGGTATTTTCTTTTAAATCTTTTTACTGCCTTGTATTGATGTATTTTCCCCTTTTTAATTGGCTGAGGCTTTCTTGTGAGCTTTTACCTTGAGGCTTTTATATTACAGGCTTGAGACACTCTTGTAGTAAACTAAGTAACAAAGTTTATTTATAGCTTCTGGCTCCAACGCTTATGGTTACACTTGTGTGTTCTGTTACAGTCTTGAGTTCCTACATGCAGTATCATTCACTTAGTTAACTTTTCCTATCAAACTTCAACTGTTTCACATCAACAAATATGTTACTTTTTTCATACACTTGACAGAACTATATTCCGCCTTAAATTACACTGGCACTTCTTTATTTTCCTTAAAACTTAAGCTCCATTTTCCTAACTATTTTTCTCTCACAGAAGTTCCTAACTCTCCTTCACAAACAGGAATCCCTAACTGAAACTTTTTGACTCTCTAACTGCCTATTTTTAAACTTAACTCCGCCCCTTTGGAATGTTCAGCTCTCTTCCCCCCCCAACTGCCATTCTAACCCAGTGGCCCTTTCAAATCCTGGCCTACACTCATCTGCATACGACCAATCGGCTGCACGTATGCAAATTAATCTTGCCTCTACTGTTGCCACCCTATTTCTGCCAATTCTGCCACATTGCAACATAGAACTATACATCAAAAATTTAACATAGATCAACAAATTCGCTACAGCAGCCAAAACCAAAATGGTGGGACAATATATTTGATAAAAAAACTGGTTAAAATAGGTAATATGCATACCAAATAAGAAAACAACCATATGATGGTGTAATAGGCCAGAGAAGAGTGCCCATGACCTGAGGTTTCCTACTCCTGGCTTTAAAGTTAGCCACGTGGACAATATATTCTAGCATGACTACAACAGAGAAATATATTACCAAGGAATGGACCTGCCTTTATCTTGAACACTGGTCGCAGAACGCACTCCGAAGCAGAAGCCAAGGCCTTAATTCATGAGTGTAATCCCCCCCCCCACTCCCCACCACCAGGGTTGGCAGGCCTTTATGGATTATTATTAAAGACCTACAAATGTTCTGCAGTTGGGCCGAAGCAATATTAATAGAGTTAATTGCAAAGTCACATGATACACGCCTTTCATCTTTGCCTGCCACACTGTCTCTGCGCTGATTAATCTATCTTTTGGGTTTATAATAACATCCTCCCTCTTTTTAAGTAGGATCCAAAGAACTCCTTGAGGGGGGTGTCTGAGTGCATACACCCACCCACATATTAGGGGTTGGGGGCATTTCTGTTATTGTTTCCCATGAACAGCAGAACATTGCTCAACAAGGAAGAAATGAATTCCTTTTCACCTCAGAGAACTCATAGAACACCTGGGAATTTGGAAAATGTGCCTCCCTCCTCCAGCGTTAGAAGTGAAACCTATTGCAACTTAAATTCCACCCAAGACAATGGGCGTGGGGAGAGTATATTCTCTGTTAGAGGCAGAAATGGGGAGAAATCATACTGGGAAGGCTGTATGCAGTGGAATAGATGGGGAAATTGGATATGTGAATGAATTCTAGTTGGTTGGGGTGGGCACGGCTGTCAGAGGCAAATGATAAATTCATTTATCAGTGGCCCTGCAATTTATCACTCGATTCCAGAGTTAATCACTTAGCGCTGCAATCTATCACATCGATATAACCTCCACATTGACACTGTTTTCCTAAGTGGGGAGGGGGAAACTCTCTCTTCGCAGCTGAAAACTTTTCGGAAGTTGGAACGAACGCAGCTCCAGCGAATGGAATTTCTTTGGAATGGCACTGCCATAAGCAGAGCGGCACCATCTGCTCTCCTCCAATTATATCATATTTATAATTTCTTGTTATGCTTCTTATCATATGGTCCATTAGAGAACAGATCCTATCCAGGAATATAGGAAGACACGGGTGCCTGCTAGAGCGCAGAAAGGAAATACATAGAAGGATCTCAATTAGGACTAAGAGAGAAAGGAAATATGATTTTTGCTGCAAATACACTGAGAAATCGTTTTCTGGGTTTCTGAGTCTTTACTGAAGGGAAAAGTTAAAATGTCAACTTACCACCCAGCGGACCCATAGGCTTGTCTCACTAGCGGTGCGCACAGTCACACTCCCCGGTGCAACGTCTGGTGGGGCTTGGAGGGTCTGAATGACCCGCGATGGCTGGCTGAGAGGACTTTTCCCAACCACATTCACCTGCCTCATCCTGAACCTGAAAGACAGAAGCAGACAGTGTCAAAGGGCTTAGAAGGGCCCAGGACACCTGAAACCGGAATTGTCTTTGTTTATCAACTTTAATAACATAATAATAATAATAATAATAATAATAATAATAATAATAATAATCCTTTATTTATACCCTGAGTCCCAAAGGACTCGGTGCGGCTTACAATAGGCCGAGACCCAATACAACAATAAAAGACAACAACAATACAGCAGTAAATAAAAATCAAACAGTAAACATTAACAATAAACACGACACAATTAAAACCAATGTCAGGGCCAGATGTAATGGTTAAAAATGTTAAAAAGCTGGGCATGACCGGGTAAAATGGATAGGTATTTTGGCGAATAGGCAGGGCATGCGGACAGACCTAGATCTCTAGTAAAGTGCATTTGGGACAAAGTTCTTGTAGTTTCCTATTCTGGGAAGGCACACTGAAACAGCCACATTTCCAAGCTCCTAAAGACTGTCAATGTCGGGGCCTGCCTGATATCCTTGGGGAGTGAGTTCCAGAGTCGAGGAGCCACCACAGAGAAGGCCCTGTCCCTTATCCCCACCAATCGTGCTTGCGATGCAGGTGGGATCATGAGCAGGGCCTCCCCGGAAGATCGAAGAGATCGTGTGGGTTCGTACACCGAGATGTGGTCATGCAGGTATGCGGGTCCCAAACTGTTTAGGGCTTAACATAACATAACATCTTGTGATGATCATGTAGGTAGCTCTTTGAAGTCCAAAGACTATAAAAGAGAGGTGCTCCTTTGTCTGGGTGTTGATTTGATCTTTTGCTTTACTCTTAACAGAGTGACCATCATCTGTTTCCCAGCAATGTAGTTTTGCATGCAGCATAGTCGCCTGACCCATGCTCTCAAGCTAGAGAATGCTATCTTTTTACTCTCTGTTTTTGGATTGTACTTTTGATATACTGCAACAAAGTCATCCATGTACTTGTGTGATCTTTGACTCACGATTTCATGAGTAAACTACTTTTTATTACATCAACCAGTTTGATGGAGAGTCTTTTGTTTTCTGGCGGTTCTGAATGCACATTTCTTTGCATGTTGAATAGGGGTGCTGTGATCAATCATTAAGCAAGCTTAACTCTGCCTGTCTTCTTCTTTTCGAAAGGCAAGCTGTCCTATCTCATACCTCTGACTCTCCCGTGGTGTTTAACTCTACTAATGTGGTTCTTTAGAAGAAGATATAACTATTTCAAACTATTTCCTTCCATGGCCTAAGCATTTACATAATCCCAATAATCTGCAAAGCAGACTGGGGATGATGGGAATTGCAACCCAACTGAACTTGTGGCTGCAAGGTTGCGGAAAGGTTAAAGGATATTTTAAAGTCAGGTATCATATCTGCTCCATGCAGTCATGCCGGCCACATGACCTTGGAGGTGTCTACAGACAACACCGACTCTTTGGCTTAGAAATGGAGATAAGCACCACAGCCCAGAGTCGGACACGAAAACCTTTACCTTTACCTATCATATCCACAAGTTTTGTATCCAAATTCCTGACTAAACAGAACAAATGACAGCTGTAGCGAAATTGCTATTCTATGTTAAATTTTCGGTGTATAGCTCTATGTTTACATATGGTAGATAGGGAAGAATAGGCACAGACAGGGTAGCAACAGCAGAGATAGGATTCATTTGCATATGGAAGCCAACTGGTCATATGCAGATTAGCGTAGGCCCAGGATTTGAAAAGGTTGCTAGGCCTTTCACTGAGGCGCTATGTTTGTTTTATGTTGTTTGTTAATTGTTGTGGATTGATGTTGTTGATCCTGTTGTTACATTTGTTGTGTTTTTAATTGCACTGACATTGTTGTGATAATTTGTACCATGTAAACCGCATTGAGTCGCCTGTTTGGGCTGAAAAATGCGGTATAGAAATAAAGCAAATAAATAAATAAATAAATAGGCCAAAATGACAGTTGGAGAGAGAGAAGAGCTGAACATTCCAAAGGGGTGGAGCCAAAGTTTAAAAATAGGCAGTTAGAGAGTAAAAAGTGTGAGTTAGGAATTGCTGTTTGTGAGGTACAGTTAGAGAGTTAGGGATTCCTGTTTGTGAGAGACAGTTAGGAACTTCTGTGAGAGAAAAGAGTTAGGAACTCCTGTTAGAAATAAGCAGTCAAATAGAGCTCAGGTTTTAGGAACATAAAGAAAGCCAGTGGTGCTTTAGTCAGAACATAATTTCAGTTAAGAGTGTGTAAAGAAAGTAACATGTTTGTGAATGAGAAACATTGAAAGTCTATTTCAGAAAAGTAAACCAAGTATATTATACTGACTGTAAGTCTCAAGACTGCAACAAAACACAAATGTAACCACAAGTGTTTGGATCCTGAAGTTATAAATAAACTGTGTTACTTTGTTATACAGAAGTGTGTCTCAGAGCCTGTACAAAGGTTAAACAGCACACAGAAAGTCCCAGCAAATATAAAAGAAGAAACTGAATTCTTATAAGAGTAAAGAGGTTTTTTCTTGAATGGGGAGGTGGTCTCCCTCTCTCGCTACAGTATAAATTTGTGGCAGTAATATTACGCTTCTTTATAACAGCCTTCCAGATGTTCCTATATCACAACTCTCATCAGTGCAGTCATTATGTCTAATGATGAGAAATACAGGAGTTGGAGTCCACATAAAATGACATGGAAGGCCTTGAGTTTGACACATGTGTCCTTGGTCAATAAGAAAAGGCAGCTGAGAGTCAGTGCCTGGTCGCTAGCAATGTTGACACTTCCAAGTTGCAAATGTTTATTGGAGAGATTGATTTAGATCTGCTAACATAAATGGAACAACAGATATAGATCTGCTAATGTAAATGGAACAACCATAAAAGACAACCAGAGGACTTAGAAAATATTTTAATAAATGCTTTTACCTTGAATTCTAGTATTCTGAGAAAAGGAGGAAATTCTGTTATAGACGCCCAACTAATTGGGTGGGTAGCATTGGGAGTGGGGTGTAGCAAGCCATGAGATTTGAAGCTGTGCTTATCTCACTGATTATGATTAAATTTCCCATTCTTTGGGCCTTCCAAGGCTCTCAGGGGAACAGACATGAATGATTCCTCTCATCCTCCATGATCAAAATTTGCCCTCTCCAATTAAAATATCACCCCTTGTCAGCGAAAGCTGATTAAGCCAATCCAAAGTTTCAGCTCTTTTCATTGCAACATAAAAAGTTTGATTTGGATAGAATTAACTATCTCCTTAACTTCCATTAGGTACACTTCACTTTTTTGGGTGGTTTATCCATAACCAAAATTAGAACAGCAGGGATAAATATGAGCTCTTGGGGATAGGAGGCTTAGAAGTATGGATAAAAAAAAACAGTCCAAGCTGGTGTTCCTATGCAAACTATGAAAATTTGAAAGTGTCTTCTGGTTCAGGGAAAAATGTAAGGAACCAGACACTAAGGATGAGAGGCATGCATTCACACAGCTGCTATAAGCATAGAGTTACTTGCTGACAAATCTTTTCGTGCTCCTGTTTTTAGACGCTCTCTTTTTCTCTGTCCCTGTGAAATGCTGGGTGTCCAGCTTTAAAAGGTTGGGATTGAGTGAAGGTGGAGCAAGCTTATGCAACACCATTAGTCTATCTGCTCAGATCTTGTTAAGGAAGTGCATTAAAGGAAGGAAAAGCATTAAGCAAAACAACCCCATTAATTTTCCAAACACTGTCAGCACGAAGAAGGAACAAGGCAAGCCTGACCAAGATGTGGCCCAAGTCCAAGTGCCTCCCTGCTTTCATCAATGAGGAATGTGGTTCTAAGTCTAGATGATGGAGTCAAGATGGTTCTGGGGGGAAAGAGCAGCTGAGGACTCCAAAGGAACAAAAACAGTATATCTGCTCAGAGACCAATTTGCAGAAGCATACAGAAGTAGTGGATCCTCTTTCAAACTAATATGCAGTCTGTGGTTTGTTGTAGGTTTTTTCGGACTGTATGGCCATGTTCTAGAGGCATTCTTTCCTAGTATGCAATCACTCGAAACTCTATCTATCTATCTATCTATCTATCTATTGTTCTTATACCCCACTACCATCTCCCGCAGGACTCGATGCGGCTTACAAGAGGCTAAGCCCAACAACATCATGAAAACCATAACAACAAAACAATAAATAACTCATAAAAAGCAAAAACAATACAAAATAACACAACACATTTTAAAAACATGAGGTGGGCCAAATGTAAAAGTTTTAAAAGTTAAAACTTATGGGAATTAAAGAAAGGGGACACCATTTTTTTTCAGAGTGGTTGACTCTTTTAGCTCAGCAAGTGGCAGAGGATTTTTCTGACATTTCAGACGATGAGGGGTTTGATGGGCTTCAAAGTGTGGAGACTGTCAGTGTTGGGAGAGAATTGCAGGCAGATGAGGCTGATGTTTTGGATCCTTGTGCTCATTCCCAGGCAACTGGGGAAGGTGAAAGTTCCAGTTCTTTTGAGAAATTGGCTTTGACTGATAGGGAGTTTTCCCGAGAAGCCAGATTAGGCCTGAGAACAGAGGGAGTGAGAAACAGACAAATTAGACGTTCTCAGAGAATCCGTGACAAGACCTTGAAGTCCAGGTGGATTCAGCATGATCTCATGGCTACTTGGACGGGCTTAAATTAAGTGGTGTTGGCTTCACACCACTCAGAGGAGACAAGGTTGCCATATGGGATGGCTCTCCTGTCTTTGCTCTCAAGTTCATGGTTCAAGTATTTTCACGTTTCCTGTTCTGGTCCATGCCTTTGTTTCCTTAAAGGGTTTACCCTGGAAAAGTTCCTGTTTTCTTGTTTATGCATTTATGTTTGAAGTACTTCTGAGGATTTTGGTTCTCTTGACTTGATGTACTTTTGCATTTTTGGATTATTGCTCCTTTGTATTTGCTATTCTTCTGATCCTTTCCCCCCTTTTTACCTGCTTTCTTCAATAAACATTTTAGATAGAACTAATGAACTCTAGTGTTTGTTTGTTTTTTGTCATGTCAGGAGAGACTTGAGAAACTGCTTCAGGTGTGAGAGAATTAGCCGTCTGCAAGAATGTTGCCCAGGGGAAGCCCGGGTGATTTGATGTTTTTATCATCCTTGTGGGAGGCTTCTCTCATGTCCCCGCATGAGGAGCTGGAGCTGGTAGAGGGAGCTCATCCGCCTCTCCCCGGATTCGAACCTGCGACCTGTCGGTCTTCAGTCCTGCCGGCACAGGGGTTTAATCCACTGCGCCACCAGTGTGGCTCCTGGTGTGGTGCTGGATGAAAAGGTGTTTCAGTGCTTGAATGCAACCACTTGATACTTTTGCCTTCCCAAGCACTGACACACATAGTATCTGCAAAGTTGTTGCACCTTATACTTAAGGTCATAGCCTTGACCTAGCAATAAAGAAGTTAAAGGAGGTAAACTGGAAGAATTTACAATGGCAATAACAGAATGAAAGGCAGAATGTCCCTCACATTGATGGGCACTTGATCTACGTCAAAGCTTAACTCTATTGCATTCTCCCAAGTATAGTGAAGAGAGGAAAATGAAATCTACTAACCCAACTTAGGGAATGAAGCCAAAGTGATATAGGGAGCTGCCAGCCAATTCCAGCGCCGTCTCCCCCACAAATGAAGCAAGATCAATTTTAATTAAATCAATGCAACTTTTAGTCTAGACAAACTCCCAGAATCAAGATGTGTTAAGTTATTCAACGGTACTATTTAGCACTGCACTTTACACCTCGCTCCCATTTCCAGATTGATTAATTATTTTACTATGTGAAGGCGACAATTAAAATACATCAAGCGGGTCATTTAAGTGCAAATGCTTGTGAGGTGTAAATTTAAACTCTTCGGAGGTGTGAATTCTCCCCCCAGCAGCTGCTTGTGTGAGCATCGGAGCTGGCCCTGACTTCCATGGCCGGCCGGTTGATGTGCCCATTAATTACCAGCTGCTCTCACCTGTAATGCATATAAGGTGTGAGGTTTGGGATCTCCAACAGCTGAGCATCGGATTCCTTCTCTACCTCACACAGAGTGATCCATTCCTCTTCTTCGCCTATGACACCAACCTAGGAGGAGGACAAGAAAAAATAGTTTCGGTTTAGATAACATCAGCCTTAGGGGAGTGTGAGTAAGGATGTGGACACACATTCTGATTTCTCAAAAGTATTTCTGGATCTAGAGGATGAAGGAGGATATATTCACTGCATATCCTGACTTCCCCTCCATGACAGCAAAGCAACATAGGAAAGGTAAAAGTTTCCCCTTGACATTAAGTCTAGTCGTGTTCGACTCTGGGCAGTGGTGCTCATTAGGCTTGGGTAACCACGGAAAAATTTGGTTCTAAACTCGTTTTGTTTTTAGGGGGCCCTTGCATTTTGTTTTTTTTAATAATTCCGAAATTTTCCTTTAAAAAATTTCAAAATTTACAAAATTTCGTATAATTACGAATCAATTCGTTAATGGCGGACGAGATTGCGCAATATGCTAAAAAAACTTCCAAATGGGACAGGAGGAACTTCTGAAGCTTCCCTCTCCCTCTGTTGTTGACTGTTGGTGTGATAAAACAAACAACACCTATAAAACTTGCACCAGACATGCGAAAATAATTACAAAATAATTACAAAATAATTACAAAATAATTACGAAATAAATTGAAAAAATTGTTTCAAATCTTTATTACTCCTCACACAATTCCTGCATGGCTCAATATTGGATCGTAAGCTAATTTAAATACAAATTAATAACAAATTACGAAATTAACGAACGAAACCGCCCAAGCCTAGTGCTCATTTCCATTTCTAAGCCAAAGAGCCGGTCTTGTCTATATTTATTTATTTGTTGTATTTGCATACTGCCTTTCTCAGCCAATCGGCAACTCAAGGCGGTTTCCAACAAATCGGTACACATAAAAACATAATACAGATTAAAACATTAAACAGTATAAAACACAACAAGAGCAATAAAACAACATAATTAGCGTCTCCTTATTATCAAGCACTGTCCAGTTCCATTGTCAAGTCATTCAATTTCCTATATTAGCTACTCTGCATTTGTAAACACTTGCTCAAACAACCATGTTTTAACTTGCCTCCGAAACATTAAGAGGGAGGGAGCTGATCTTATCTCCCTAGGAAGGGTCACCACTGAGAAGGCCCAGTCTCTCGTCCCCGCCAGATGTATTTGGGACGAAGGTGGGACCGAGAGTATTCTGAACTCCACCAACAATGGAATTGAACCAAACTTGATACACAACTCCCATGACCAAAAGAAAATACTGAAAAGGTGTGGTCGGCATTGACCTTGAGTTTTGGAGTTGTAGTTCACCTACACCCAGAGAGCACTGTGGACTCAAACTATGGTAGATCTGGACCAAACTTGGCATGAATACTCAATATGGTCACACTGGTGGTGTTTGGGGAAAATAGACCTTGACATTTGGGAGTTGTAGTTGCTGGGATTTATAGTTCACCTACAATCAAAGAGCATTCTGAACTCCACAAACAATGGAATTGAACCAAACTTGGCACACAGAACTCTCATGACCAGCAGAAAATACTGGAAGCGTTTGGTAGGTATTGACCTTGAGTTTTGGAGTTGTAGTTCACCTACAATCAAAGAGCATTCTGAACCCCACCAACAATAGAATTTGGCCAAACTTCCCAAAGAGAACCCCCACGACCAAGAGAAAATACTGTGTTTTCTGATGGCTTTGTCGACCCCTCTGGCATCCCCTCATGACCCACAGGTTGAGAAATGCTGCTCTAACCATTACACAATACTGACTGTATCCAAAATCTGAAACATATTCTATCCTGGCGCATCCTTTTCCTCTGTTTCCTTTCTCTCTCCCCCCCCCCCCCCGCCCCGCACTGAATAATAAGTGGGAAAGATACCTGGGCAGAGATCTATCCTCTTGTATTTGGCTGTGCTCTATGCATACTGATGATGTTAAATAAACAAATATGAGTTAAGTTTCATTTGTCCTTCCATTTCAGCAGGGAGTAAATTCTGCTCCTGCCACGGATGGTTCCCATTTGGTGATGAAAAAGATTTATTGGAATTCTATTTGAGCCAGTCTTTCCGTTAGGCATTTTCAAGGTAGGTTACAAGACTAAAAATAAAACAAACGACTTGCAAAAAAAAAAATAAGAACATGGAAGATTACAAAAGCAGCCAGGAAATGGCAAAGAATATCAGCACAAGCATCAACGATGCTGCTGATGCTGCTGTTGTGTGCCTTCACAACCAGTGATTTCCAAACTATGGATCTCCTACGGCAAACCTAGCATGCGATTGTTCTTAGCAAGATTTATTCAAAAGCAGCTTGCTATTGCTGTCCCTTGAGGCTGAGAGAGCATGCCTCACTCAAGATTACTCGATGAGGAAATGGAGAGAAGGAAGGGAGAACTGGAACATTACAAAGCAGCTGAAAAAGTGGGATGACAGAGGATTAATCAAGCCTATCCTTTCCAAATTGAAATAATTGGAGAGTGTGTGATTTGCATGCATTGCACAAAGTAAACAGTGTATAAATTATTTTGTGGGGAACGAGTCGAAGGAAAGGCAGGAATTCACATGACAGTTTGGTTTTGTGGTTTTTCTATTATTATATTCTTTACCAGGGAAATTGAAGAAATGCAGCATATGGGGTGTGGGGAGGACAACCAATATATCAAGGAGGCTAAACAGACCCATAACACTATTTCACCAGAGTGGAAATCATCTATCGGACAGATGGCAAGCTATTTAACGTCAGCAGACTGAAAGCCAAATCCAAGGTCACCACAACATATGTTTTAGAACTCCAATATGCCAATGATAATGTAGTCTGTGTGCATTTAGAAGAAGACTTACAAGCCACTCTAAACATCTTTGCAGAAGCAAATGAAAAGCTCGGCCACTCATTAAACACTGAGAAAACCAAAGTGCTCTTTCAGCAGTCACCAGCCAATCCCTCTGTAATGAAATACAGAAATACGTCTTAGAAAATGTGGACCATTTCCGCTTTCTTGGCAGCCACCTCTGCACAAAAGTCAACATTGACACTTAAATACAACACTGCCTGACCTCTGCGAGTGCAGCTTTTTTCTGAATGAAGCAGAGAGTGATTGAGGACCGGGACATCCATAGGGAGACCAAGGTGCTTGTTTATAAAGTGATTATCCTCCCAACCCTATTATACACCTGCAAAACGTGGACTGTCTACAGATGTCACACTCAACTCCTGGAACAATTACATCAGTGATGCCTCCAGAAAATCCTGCAAATCTATTGGGAAGACAGGCAGACAAATATCAGCATGCTGGAAGAAGACCGTCAGCATTGAAGCGATGCTCCTACGCCATCAACTCCACTGGACTGAATGCCATGTTGTTCGAATGCCCAAAGATCACTGTCTCCGAAAGCAGTTACTCTACTCCGAACTCAAGAATGGAAAATGGAATGTTGGTGGACAGGAAAAGAGATTTTAAAGAGATTTAAAGATGAGCTTAAAGCCAACCTTAAAAACTGTGACATAGGCACCGAGAACTGGGAAGCCCTAGCACTTGAGATCTCTAACTGGAGGTCAGCTGTGACCAGCAGTGCTGCAGAATTCAAAAAGGCACGCAGGGTTCCGTCCTGGGCCCGGTCCTGTTCAACATCTTTAATGACTTAGATGAAGGGTTAGAAGGCATGATGATCAAAAGTTTGCAGACGACACCAAATTGGGAAGGATAGCCAAGACTCCAGAGGACAGGAGCAGGATTCAAAACGATCTTGACAGATTAGAGAGATGGGCCAAAACTAACAAAATGAAGTTCAACAGTGACAAATGCAAGATACTCCACTTTGGCAGGAAAAACGAAATGCAAAGATACAGAACGGGGGACAATGCCTGGCTCGAGAGCAGTACGTGTGAAAAAGATCTTGGAGTCCTCGACAACAAGTTAAACATGAGCCAACAATGTGATGTGGCGGCAAAAAAAGCCAATGGGATTTTGGCCTGCATCAAGAGGAGCATAGTGTCTAGATCCAGGGAAGTCATGCTCCCCATGCTCTATTCCGCTTTGGTGAGACCACACCTGGAATATTGTGTCCAATTCTGGGCACCACAATTCAAGAGAGATATTGACAAGCTGGAATGTGTCCAGAGGAGGGCGACTAAAATGATCAAGGGTCTGGAGAACAAGCCCTATGAGGAGCGGCTTAAGGAGCTGGGCATGTTTAGCCTGAAGAAGAGAAGGCTTGAGAGGAGATATGATAGCCATGTATAAATATGTGAGAGGAAGCCACAGGGAGGAGGGAGCAAGCTTGTTTTCTGCTTCCCTGGAGACTAGGACGGGAAACAATGGCTTCAAACTACAAGAAAGGAGATTCCATCTGAACATGAGGAAGAACTTCCTGACTATGAGAGCCGTTCAGCAGTGGAACTCTCTGCCCCGGAGTGTGGTGGAGGCTCCTTCTTTGGAAGCTTTTAAACAGAGGCTGGATGGCCATCTGTCAGGGGTGATTTGAATGCAATATTCCTGCTTCTTGGCAGAATGGGGTTGGACTGGATGGTCCATGAGGTCTCTTCCAACTCTTTAATTCTATGATTCTATGAAAAGAGATTTAAAGATGGGCTTAAAGCCAACCTTAAAAACTGTTGCATAGACATTGAAAACTGAGAAGCCCTGGCACTTGAGAACTCTGAGGTCAGCTGTGACCAGCAGTGCTGTGGAATTCAAAGAGGTACGATTGGAGGGTGAAAGGGAGAAACACACCAAGAGGAAGGTGCATCAAGCCAACCCTGACCTGGACCGTCTTCCACCTGGAAATCAATGTCTTCACTGCAGGAGAACATGCGGATTAAGAATAGGGTTCCACAGACACCTATGAACCCACCGCCAAAACAATACACTTGGAAAGCAATCATATTCTGACAACAAGGAATTGCCTAAAGGAAGGACTATTCTCTGGCTTTTATTTCTTTCCTCTCTGTTTTTAGCTGGAGGGATTTTTTTCGATTCTCAAGATTTTGCCTGTAATCTGCATGGAGAGTCTCTATTTTTCACTCTGCTGTGTGAACAAACTTGTATTGATTTCC